CTCAAATTGAAATTTGCAAAATCTAACTAGTTTTCATATATAGATTCTAGGAGTCCTCCATAGTCGTTGACTCGGTTAGGACTGTAATGAAAATCTAATCTAATATACATGATTGAAATCAAAAACAATAAGGAAAAATTTTGCTGCCCGATATAGTGGTTATGAGCTGAGAGGCGTATGGCAATCATATGACTCTGCTATCCTTCTATGGAGTGGCACAGGCTCATGTGTTATGGTGAGCCGCAGAGACGGCGCGCTCACGCTGGGTTGATGGCACGATGGATGTTACAGGCTGCGCCTATCTCCTAGTGACTGTCGCACGGACACTTATCATTATTACGTCATTAGCCTTGCTATCTAGAGAGATGTCCAACTTGGCCATACAAATACAGGGTTGCAACAAATATGGAAACAAGATATTGTTGCAGCAAGTCTCATATGGAATCATGGGCCGATACGACCCAGATTCGCTATGACGAGCCCACTCGGAATATCAAGGATATGATGTAGTAGAATAGATAGTGAGGTTAGCGCATTGGGAGTTGGGACACCTTAAGTAGCATCCCCTCGGTGGACAGTTCCGAGATGTATGTAGAAAATAGACAGTAATCGGCCACCATTCCTTTACTATATTGTTTTGTTGATCGCCCATCACAATGGATACCATAAGGAAATGGTTAAACTGTCCTTTGCAGCTATTGATGGTGGCATGAATTAAGATGATGATTGTGACTGAGATGGATTTCTATATATTTTATTATACATGACATGCTCCGGTTCATATACCTCGAGCCAAGCGACCAGATTATGTTTCTCCTATCACTGAGACATAGTCATGATCGTTTGAGCAATACCGACTCATGAATGAATCATATTTCTATATGATAGATACTGAGTTCGTATCACTGTGGCCAAATGGACGTCAGTAGATATCATATGTGAACTCGTACTGACGATGGTGATATATAAAGGATGTTGTAGATGCGCATCACAACGATTGATAATATCATCTAGTGGATGATGTGAAGAATGATATTATTTGGATAGATTACTCACCAAACTCGGCAGGTGAAGAGGTTGTATAGTACATGAACAGCGTCTGCGCACCAGCCTGTATTTTGCACCCTTTCCTAATACAGCAGCCAGACCTCGAAGTGGTATTTGCGAATGAAATCCAGAGTATGAGTGTCACTGACGTCAAAAGAGTCATCCAACATGTATACATAGCATTGGCCATGTGTCATAGCTCGATAGTTGCATACACATTAAATGATGCAAAAAAATAATAATACAGCAGCCCATCCTCTTCTCCCCTGTCTCCTAACGACTCAACCAAGCCAGCACAGCACTCCCCCTATGGTGAGCACGCTCTACCATCTAGTGCGAGGTGAGGCCTACACTTATGTACCCTTGAGCTGGCACTGCACCCTGACTCGACGCCCAACGCCTAACCAGCTTTCTAATAACAGTTTACTTGCGATACGTTTTTCCCGGAAAACGTCGGTATTTACATTCAAATGTTGCTACCCGCAACATCATGTCACAGTAAGAAATCGCTAGAATGCCACCCATCTTTTTTCTCCCAGCAATACCCTTCCACACGGCGCTATTTCCTTTTTTGTTCTTTGCCATGGTTTTAGCGCTAACTTGCATTCCGAGAGATGCCGCGGACGTCTTTCTCGGTCATGTACGATATTACAAGCTATTTATTGTGAAATTCGGATGATTTCCATTTTCTCCTATGTGAGCATGTGTGTATATACATAATATTTAGCCTCAATTGCTATCATATCCTTCCTGCCAACTGTGCGCATTCCCAACTAGAATTATTGAGATTCATCCTATCTCCACCTAGCGCGTACCACATCCCAGTTAATAGTTGGCACTTCCAACTTCTTTGTTACATAGCGAACTAAGAATAATCTCGTGAGGGATTCTCATTACATCATCTACAAATTCAACAGATATCATGATATCACAATACAACTCCTTCTTGATGAAACCTCTCATGGTAATAAGTTAAGTTTCCGTGACCAGTGCTAGATGCCAACAGACGGTGACATGCCTATATTGGTAGAGCCAGTTTTGATAGACATTTTCGTTTCATCATTAAGTCCAGGTTTTTGTAACGACTGGGTCTAATCTATCGCCACTAGGACTCGATTGTCTCCTTCGCGCGTTCTATGACGTAACTGTTTAGAGCTGCGAAAGTTTATTTTTGATTATTGTTTGACCTCAATATGTCAATGGCACTGGACAAAGCTGGAAGAGACTTCAAGGCTGCTCTTGTTAGACATTAGGAAGTATCTAAGGTTTATTTGGTGTTTGGATCATATTTGGATATATTGGTTCCAATAATAGAGTACTTTAAACTAGCTGGTTGAACGCACGGTCCACCTAGAGAAGTGATAACTTGTGGGGACTGATGCTCGGAGGAAGAATTAAGTTGTTTCTATTGAGTTAATGATACCCGTAAATATTCTTCACCTGCTACAGGACAGGTTCCCCAGTTTCCTGATAGCTCTAGCTAATTTATCAGTGTAGGAGTTCCTGATTATCCCAGAATAGCCTGGAATCCATCGTGTCTCTACTAACCTATTCGGCCGTTGAAGAGTTGTGAATTGATCGACAGTGGCTTGACACGACTCACTTAGACCGGTTCTAAGCGAGTAGAGGGGAGGGCAAGACTGAACACCTGTATGCGGTGTCCTCTACGAACCTGGGAGTGAAATATTCTCCCAGAGCCAAGTTCAGTCAAATTTCGCAATATCAAAGAAGTTGGCCCACGAGGCAAAAATCCAAATTACTCCTCCATGTCGTTATTTCGCTCCCAACGAGTTTGACTCCTATCTTCGTCTCATCAAGTCTACAAGTACGACCTAGTACATCCTCATCCCGATGACCACACCGCTCTTCGACCTTCTCTGGCCTCAGTTGACCGCCAAATGCACGCCCACGCCGATATTTATACCCGACGGAGGAAGCAAAGCGTGGCGCACAAATCTGGGAGACAGTTATTTGAGATGGGCTTGAGAGGAATCAGGATAAGTCGACATGATGATACGAAGGAAGGATATAACCTCGACGGGCGTGAAATTCTGAATTTTGGCAAGGAGTTTTTCGAATTGGGCTTTGTGCGCGCCATGGCTTCGCTTGCGAGAGTGCAGCTCACACTATAAAAACAAGAAGACGATGGAAGGTGTCGTGGTCCGCCTCCTGGTGGTGATCTCCAGTATAGTTTGAGTTGTCTAGGCACCTACCCACTTGGGAAGAAAACGCCTCAGACCACATTTCGCGCGGAGAAAAGTTGAAAGATGATGAAGGCATGTCTGGATAACTCAGGGTTTTTGAGACGTTCCCCTGGGTGGGTATTCACGGATGAGGGTTGACTTGGGGTGAAGAAAAAGCTGCCATAACTTCGCAGTGGTACTTGCAAATGAAATCCGAGGCATGAGTGCTCTTCTTGTAAATTGAGTCATCTATCATACACTTCTCTGATATTGTGTCATAGCTAGATAGCTGCATACGCAATTAAAATCTGATGCAAAAAAAAAAAAGGGAGTAGAGGGCTTCAGAATTATTGAGGAGTATCTCGATTGGGCCATCTCCTGCTAGTGCTACGGCAGCTTCTGGGGCTTTCTCGGCTCCCAGTAGTTCCGCGTCGTACTCTCCAGACCCTAGCCCCTAGTCTTGTTGCTGAACTGCTCCTGATCAGCCTGGTCCCTTTATGTAAGGCGTGGGCCCGCTGTCTCGGACATTATGAGAGATCTTTCCCTTAAAAGTCAACTCAGTCACAACCCTCGCTTCAATGGTGGGAGTGAGTGGGTTGACCTGGCGTTCCAGTCCCTCTAGGTGCGTAGTCGAGTGCATTGTGGTGGTATCGTTTCTTGTCAGGAGGCTATCTTATCCAGCCATTAGGGTAATGGAAAAATAAATCATTGAATCACCTCTGGAGGATGATAGCATGTCTTCTACCGACTAGTACTCATCAGCAGAGTATTCTGCCAAACGATAGAGGTATTTATGTTTATGTTTGGCGAGACGACAAGATCACGAAATAGCGTGGAGGGCGGTAGGCGTAAGTGGAAAATAATGAGGATACATGACCCTTGACCACAGGGCTACGAAAAAACTTTATGGGGAGGATCCAATGGGAAAAAACTCCATCGAAGACACTTCAACCATCCCTTCCGGACTCTGTTACGGGTTGCTGAATCCCCCTTCATACGAACCATGTAGTAGCCTAGTCTACCACTGTTGCTAACAGTATATCATAACCAGAGTTTAATTGATCATAATGCAGGCTCACTGACGCCATGTTCCCTGAGTAGCTCATCTGTAGGTTCGTTAGTAGATATGCAGTTTGAGGGCTGGCAGTGTTGAAGACACGAATATGATCAAATTAGCATAAAGGATCAACGATATGTAAAAGTTCATATGTCAAGGAATCCTCAACGTCGCACATTAGCCTTGTGCATCTGTCAAAATTGAAATCACGAGCCTGAGGTAGATTTTCACTCTTAGTCAACACCTCCAGAAACCGCCCATAATTCTCTTTGCTCCAGGATCAGCACCCGCTACAATAAGAGATCAAGTAGCTTATATGCATTTGATATTTGGAAAAGTCCTTATGTGATACGAGGCATAGTCTTATCAAATGTTTGCAGTTGCACGATGTAGCTTCCGCTACAATTCGAGGATTTTAGAGAACTTTTTGATAAGGGAATTTAGTACGTTAAGTGTTTATCCTCAAACTGTTCTGCAGAGCTTGCATGTAGTGTGTCTGTCAATGCATACCTCATGGCTGTCACTGATGCCAAAGACATGATAAAGGCAGCAGCATAAGCGATGAAGAAAGGGATTAATGCAGGCAAAGAAATAGCAATTTTTTTATCTTGAACGCTTATTAAATGGAATGCATTTCAGTAGAGCGATCAATGTAGCTAATTCGAATTATTTCGGACTTGCCAGCCCCCCTAAAGACCCAGGTTAAGCTCGCCTTATAATCTCGAGTTGCCCTCACGCCAGACGCCTGAGCTATCTGGATGTGATATCTGGGGGCCATGACCATCTGAAATATCTTCGTCCCCATCTTCGTCCAAGATCTTGGCCATCTCATCGGGATCTTTCATACGTGTGTCAACTGCGATTTCTAAATCACTGCTGCCGGAGCCTGCGTCTAGCGTGCTTTCTTCATGATCTTCAAAATCACCGTCTTCAGTATCGTCTAGTAAGTTTTCATCTGCAGATACGCTTATACCTCGAGAGCCCCATTTACTCCCTGTCTTGGGTAGAGATCTAGACCTGTTTTCGTCCCGACCTGTCGGCGTGCTTTCCTCGTCGCTCGCTACAACTTTATTCCCAAATATAGTCCTTAGTAGCCAGCCATTGTGCAAGTCATCCGCATCTACAATACCACCATGTCTCAGCTTTACGCGCTGCCTGCTATAGTAAATCCACGCGAAATCGACGTAAAAGGCAGTCTGTAAGATTCCGAATATAATTGATATGGCGTCCGGTTTACGATCTGTTATATCTAGCTCTCGCCATATCCAGTTGAGAATATAGAAGGCTCGGTATGATCCAAGTGTTAGGAGGTAGTATGAGTCAATCACCGTAGGGACGGTGGTTTGTCGAAGAAGGACCAGTTGGGGTAGGATACATATAGATTCAAGGATGATAGAAAACGTCCAAAAGAGCTAGGAAATAGGGATTAGTCACGAAGCAGAATAGCTGGACACTCACTTCTCTCCAACTCCACTTAATACTACTAGTGAAGATGGACATAATTATTGGCGCACCAACAGCGCTGGCAGCCAAACAAACAGCGCCGAGTTTCCATGCCTTCTCTCTTTCCCTCGTACGTGAAAAGACGCGCAACATCAAGAAGAGAATATAGAGCGAGCTAAGCACATAGAAAAACTTGAGTGCTGTGTTCCATATTGTATTCCATAGAAAGATGTCTAGATAGCGCGATACAAAGACTAGACAGTAAAGGGCTTGAGTGATCAAGGAAACTCCTTCGGTACTTTGGTTGCGGTGAATTGCGAGAATAATTATTACTTTAGAGGCGAAATGTGAGAGGTCACCGAGAATGCGAAAGATCTGTCCAAGTATGCGTTAGCGGAGAGCTGCATTGCCGTTTTCATACTTAATTAGATCTGGGTATAAGTGGCAGATAGACAGAAAAGCTCTTGCTCATCTCGCCCGGTAAACTTACGTTCATACTCATGGTTTCCCTGTGTTGTATTGTACTTATTAATCTTCAAAAAAGATATGGAGCAGGCCCAGGGATTTTATTCGAGAGAATCGCCCGCGTAGTCTCGTCACAAACTGAAAATGGTGTCCAATAGTAATTCGTTGCACATCACCGACTTCTGTTACGTCCGGGTCTCCACGACTGACTCGTTTCCGTTTATTTAAGACAGGACTTCAATTGGCCGTACTAGTTATAATTTTGCCGTCGCGCAATGTGGTTACCTAGCTCTCTTAGTGTCGTGTGAAGCTCCTGTGTGCATGAAGGCGTCGGGCTCCAGAGTTTGCCAAGGCAAGCTTGTACATAGTTTCAGGAACGGCACGTTAGGTTATCGGCAATGCCCGCGTTCCGCTCCCAAGGACAAATAGACGAAAAGGTTCTGTACATTAATGAGTAAATAATAGCTTTTTGAAATGCTTCTGGCGAATGTGATTTCTAAATATCAACTAAGCATGCCAAATGAACATCTAACTCAGCCGTTCTTAACCTGTTGACTACATTTAACTTGATATGACGTCTTTTTCTTGGCACCATACTCGAATATCTCAAATCAAACTTACATATTTTATCAATTTTTGAGGCCAAAGACTGATCACCTAGTCGTGACATACGATACGGAGCCTAAAGCAAAATATGTAGATAGAGTCTAGTCCAGTCCAGTCAAATATCGCAATATCAATAAAGTTGGGCCACGGTGAAGGGGTTCAAGATTCCTAACTAAATCAATTTTTCGCCCCCATCGAAGTTGATTCCCACCGAAGCCTTATCCTCATTTCGATGGACAAACCTCTCGACGACTCGATCTCTGGCCTCTGTCGGCCTCGAAATACATGCGAATGACTACATGAATACCCGCAAGAGGCCAAAAATTACGATTCACAAATCTGGGAAGCCGGTTCTTTGGGTGGACAAGATGACTCTTACAATGAATATAACCACCGAAAGGGTGGTATTTTGATATTGAAGAAGAAGCCTTCGACACTGTGCATGTTGTGCCGTATAACTCCGATCGAGAGAGAGCAAACGACGCTACAAACACAGTCAAGGTGTGAATGTTCAGTGGTACATTATTTGAGCCGAATCCCCAAGTAAAGTCTGGATAGCTTGGAAACGTACCCCGATTGAGATAGTAGATGACTGGTTCGAATCCAGCAAAACACAATCGCATTTCTCGCAGTGCAAGCGTACATGGATGACGAAGACATGCTTGGATAATCAAATGTTTTGAAACTTCCGTTTGGTGGATACTTACGGAGGAGGGTCGACTTTTGGTGTAGGCAAACATAACTCAAAATGGTATTTGCGAATGAAATCCAGAGTATGAGTGTCTCTGAAGGCAAAAGAGTCATCCACCAAGCATGTAAGATACTAGTCAAGTGTCAAAGCTGGAAAGCTATATACACATTAAGTGATATTAAAAAAAGGAAATTAGATTGAATTTTATAAAAAGATACAATTGATCCTCTCCATATTTCCAATCTTCTCTGGTCTTTTATATCTTCTAGTGTAAATAAATCCAGTACCTGACACAAGACATGTCTAGGAGCGACTCTCTGACATGCCAAAACATAATCTAAACACATCATAAGACGAGTCTGTACAGGACTACTACATCGGTTGTGAACAAGATAAGTAATTTCTACCTGAAGATTACACTAAGACGATCCAGTGAGGGAAGCGACCAACGGGCGCGATGAGGAGATGCTGGGATGAGTTATGACTTGGGCTGAATAGAAATAAATATTTGGAGATTTAGAAGCTAACAATAGCTCAATCGCGTAGTAGCCGAATTAGAATATGAAGTAACGCTTCTACGCGTTGAAGTCGGGTCCAATATATTTCGGGTTTTACCCGGTATGACTTGGCTGGATTGATCTACGGGCCCAGCCTGCATCTAAGTGGGATGTGGCAAACGGATGTGACTCTTGCACCAGGCTAGACGTTTAGTAAGATATTATGTAAGGTGGTCATTAGCACACACCTTATACTGGCTCGGTCCTACTTAATTAACATTTTTAATGAAAAATATATATTATTTTGTGGCATTACTTGCGAATAGAGACCGTGACCTTCGTCGTTTTACACTGTGGGCAGATGGACATTAAGTGTTCAACACATGGGATGAAGTCTTCGTAGTCAATGGTAGATAACCTGATCCAGCCTAGCTCCGCTCTTAGATTAGATTAGATTAGATTTGTATTATAGTCCTAACTAAGTAAATGACTATTGAGGACTCCTAGAATCTACAAATAAGATGCTAGCTGGGCTCCGCTCTTACCCAAGCTCCCAAAGGAGTGCGGTGGGTGCCACTTGCCTAGCCCGTTTACTAACAAACCAAACCGGACGATGGCTGAACACTTGTTAGTGGTCTACGAACCTGGAGGTGGAATATTTTCCTAGAGCCGAGATTTTGTCACGAATAAGGGTGAGATGAATATTGTTTGATGGATCCTCGGTTTGAAGTAGTTGTACTCGATATTTTGACCGAAAATCAGTCGACAGAGATTTCACAGCTGCAGGAAATTCGAACAAAAGCTCATCACCACTAACATACGATTCACGAATGGGCCTAGGTCTGTCCGGGTTCGTATTTAAATATCCGAAATCTCTCAAAATCCTTACAGATTTGCGAAGAAGCATTTCTCAGTCGATTCTACATCTGAAACTCACCTCCAAACTCGTCCAATCTACATGCTTAGATCGCCTCTGACTTCACCAATGTGTTGAAAATGTCAAGTCTAACCATCTAGAAAACCCGATTTTAATATGCCGGAGCGCAATTTCCTCCTCAACCACCACGCGCTCAGGCCTTTAACACCCCCCAATCTATAATTCGTACTTTCCGATCAGCTCCAGCCATGCATCGACCCAGTATCTCCTCATCTTGTGCAGGGGTCGTTCTCCTCATTGGAGACCTCATCCGATCATCCATCTGGTCCTCCTCAGTTTTAGTAAACTGTTCTTCCTCCATAATAGCTGTCCGGAAACTTTATGTCAACTTCGCCATATTAGAGACTTTGTAGACTTTCTACACCTCCGGCTTTGCCCTGTCGCTGCCATACCCCCATCCTTGAAGGCCAAATATGGGTCAGAATCTCAAGATAGAGGCAACAATGCCTCAGCTTTTGTCTAATTCTCTAGTTTATATGATCGCGAAATGTGATGTGTATGTTGTCGGTGGCGACTCGTGGCAGTTCGAGTTGTTGGTCCCCTTGGCCGAGGTTGTACGAATATCAGGCCGGTACTTCGGCCGCACATTCACAGTGCACGACTGTTGCGAGCGGATAAATTTCAACTTGAGTCTTAGATGGCGAATATGAATTATGGATTTCGGAGTGCTTCAGTGAGTAGTGAGATAATTGCGGAGAGGGCCGGGAGATGAGTTTGGATAGAAAAAATCTTCCATGAAGATTTGAGAAAATAAAGGCTATCAGTGGTTTTAAAACGAAAGTCGGATAGGTTTTATCCTGCCTGCAATTCGTATTTGGGATGTAGACGTTTATATATTTTGGGTTGTGCGGTAGTCATATCTCTGCTGACCGGATTCCCGACGAAAACTTGCCAAAACCACTCCTCCCGATCAACATATCGACAAAAACTCTCGAATACACTCTTTCTCGCGACTGAATCTTGGCTGTAGCAAAAAATTCCACTCCCAGATTCGTAGACGACACCACTGACAGATTTTCAGCATTCGTTCTCCTCGAGCTTTACATTGACTTTCTTACTGAAATTTATAACCCGAATTGGACAGTTTTATGCAAGAATCTTCAGGATACAGGTGATTGATAGGAAGCTTGCGAGTTGTCATAAACATCAACGTTATTCTGTAGTTAGGTAGCGATAGTATGATATTTTTAGAGTTAACCCCATGTTTTTTAAAAATCAAGGATACGACGAAGATTGCAGCCCTCTTTTGCCAACTGGGCCTGAACAAGCGATCAGTTCAGCGTATCAATCTGATAAGATAGCTTTTCAGCTATTCTTGATATGGAGACTTTTCTCAATACCTGTCAGTGGTGTCCCCTGCGAGCCTACAGCTCTCACTGTGGGGTCTGCAGAGTCGAGATTGAGTAACAAAGTCCTCATTTAGATGGGGATTCCCAATTGCTTTCGTCGTCTGTATCGTCTTAATCTCTCAACACATCCCCCTATCACCATTATCATGAAGCAACCACGATTAGATCAGACGGTAGGGTCGAAGCCCTACTCATCACCCAACCCTGATCATGGAGGAAAAGCCATGCGATGAGTTTCCGGAGCGTACCTAGCACCCGATACGGCGATAGTGGACTGGATCAAGATGCCCTCGAATGTTACAAAGAATGGAGATATAGATGAATATGCGCACCTCATGTGGTCCCGGTGTCCAGGCCTCGCCTGGCTGGAGCTGCAGGGTTTTTGTGACTTTTTCCCGCGCACTCAGTTTCCATCGCCACCATATTTTTTTGGGTAGATGGTTCCGTGAATAGGTGGCTGAGTTCCACGGGTAAATACCGAGCAGAATGGCTATTCATCACGGGCAACATATCAGTGATCCTTCAAGTAACAAATGAGGGTAGGAACACTATTCAAGATGTGGCCTGGGTCAGAGAGGAGCCAATGTATTAGATACTCAATGACCCAAGTAGTGCAAAAAAACATCACAGCTGTTCTCGATAAGATTAATTTTCGTCAAGGACAACTCTTCTACGGGCGGACGGTTAGAAAAGATCTTTGAAGGGGTTTGCTTATAACTGCCCTATCATTATGTTTAGACACTGCAAAGTGAAGAGAACTAATAATTAATATGCAGTTGTTAGATTTTATTATTTAATGTGTATACAGCTTTCCAGCTTTGACACTTGACTAGTATCTTACATGCTTGGTGGATGACTCTTTTGCCTTCAGAGACACTCATACTCTGGATTTCATTCGCAAATACCATTTTGAGTTATGTTTGCCTACACCAAAAGTCGACCCTCCTCCGTAAGTATCCACCAAACGGAAGTTTCAAAACATTTGATTATCCAAGCATGTCTTCGTCATCCATGTACGCTTGCACTGCGAGAAATGCGATTGTGTTTTGCTGGATTCGAACCAGTCATCTACTATCTCAATCGGGGTACGTTTCCAAGCTATCCAGACTTTACTTGGGGATTCGGCTCAAATAATGTACCACTGAACATTCACACCTTGACTGTGTTTGTAGCGTCGTTTGCTCTCTCTCGATCGGAGTTATACGGCACAACATGCACAGTGTCGAAGGCTTCTTCTTCAATATCAAAATACCACCCTTTCGGTGGTTATATTCATTGTAAGAGTCATCTTGTCCACCCAAAGAACCGGCTTCCCAGATTTGTGAATCGTAATTTTTGGCCTCTTGCGGGTATTCATGTAGTCATTCGCATGTATTTCGAGGCCGACAGAGGCCAGAGATCGAGTCGTCGAGAGGTTTGTCCATCGAAATGAGGATGAGGCTTCGGTGGGAATCAACTTCGATGGGGGCGAAAAATTGATTTAGTTAGGAATCTTGAACCCCTTCACCGTGGCCCAACTTTATTGATATTGCGATATTTGACTGGACTGGACTAGACTCTATCTACATATTTTGCTTTAGGCTCCGTATCGTATGTCACGACTAGGTGATCAGTCTTTGATCACTTTAATCGCTTACTCATAGCTTAGGTACACAGTCTGAGTATCTACCAGGTCACCGGGCGTCTGTAAACATGTAAATTGCAGCCTCCCGACGCTTAAAACTCCGTGACAGCATCGTGAACTCCGTATTTATCGCGCAACGATGCGGCTTCGGAAAGCTGCTCGCATTATTCTCATTGGTGCACCAGGTGTTGGCAAGGGGACCCAGGCTGTCCGTCTACTGGAAAGCTTTCCACAACTTGCAACCATCTCATCGGGCGAATTGCTCCGCAATAATGTCAAAAAGCAGACCCCATTAGGTAAGGTCTACAATCATTTTCGCTACTGTGCCATCATGCGCTTTTTTGATAAATTATACTAGGTATCAAAGTAGCATCTACTATGTCCATCGGTCAATTAGTACCTGATTCCATCATCGTCCGGCTTATCCTACTCGAACTACAGACGCGTGGTTGGCTTTTCCCGTCGACTGATTCTTCCTCCTTAGTACTTTCGAATACCTCTGGATCTAGAGATACAGATATTAGTACAAATCGTTCATCATTTCCTGACAAAGCCTCTCCGATACAGACCAGTGATGACCCTTCAGCATCTTTCATCCTCGATGGTTTCCCACGCTCTCTCAACCAGGCTCGGGAACTTGACCAAGTGATCCCCATCAATCTTGTTGTTTACTTGAAAACGCCTACTTCTAAGATACTGGAGCGAATAGCGGGTCGGTTAGTTCACGCTCCCTCAGGTCGAGTATACAACACGACGTTCAACAAACCTAAAGTCGATGGTATTGACGATTTAACGGGCGAAGTATTAACAAAAAGAGATGACGACCAACTTGAGACATGGAAAACAAGATTAGAGCAGTTTGAGAGCACAAGCCGTCCACTATTGGACTACTATGCCGATAAGGGCCTCTTATGGGAAGTTGAAGGCACAAGCAGCGACGAAATTACACCTCAATTACTCTCAGAGGTTGTACGAAGATTTGGAGAGAATGAATGAAAGACTACAAATCCAAGTTTCAACAGACATGAGAGCATATTAGGAATTTAATAGTTCAAGATCACATCACACAACTCCTAGAACAACTTCAAATTCCATGGCTTGACGAACCTCGATAATTCAGCTTTTCATAATCACTGTTAGTGCTACTCTTTGAGATACCTTTTATTCGCTCTCATACAATTTAATATGAGTCCAAGCTCCCAGTTGCGAGTGCCTAAACACGAGGCCATCACTCAAAATATGGCATCAAGAACAGTTATTAATTGGATGTACTTTCTTACCAGTTTGTCTATGAAGTAATGACTAGGATTAATTGCTGGGTAGACACAAGTAATAGGCAGCTTCCTTAATTGGCCCAGAAATGCGCAGCTTAACGTCGTCAGGCTCGACTGAAACTACTTTCAGATCCCTACACAGAATCGATATTTGTACCGGTAAAGCTTACGACTAGCTCAATTTTAGCTTTTGAAACATCCCTGTGCCTCTGGTATTGTCGTCCGGGCACTGGCTAGTCTACTACTAATCCTTGTCGCCATGATCCCCCCCAATGTGCGGAACAGAATTTAGGTTTGCTTAGTTTAACGTCGTGGTAACACACAACTCATGAACATAGCCACGTGATGATTAGCGCAGTCCATATCGAACCTATCAACGTCGGGAGATCAACTAGCGGTACATTCAGAATAAGGCGATTTTGCGTCGTATCACAAAAGAATTAAGCACGAAGATGCAGTCCTCCTACGCGATTGCGACGAGCAAAGCTCCCCGAAGCACCCTTTTATGTGTAGTATACAGAGAGGCATACGAAAATCCCGCCTCTACACCTCGCCAGGTGTAGAGGGCAGTAATATGCGGACTCCACGCCCAATAGCCGGAGCGCGAGTATTTGAAAGATGGTGCAAAGAAGCACAACCGTGCGCACGTATCAAGGAGGTTTATAAGTGAAATTAGGGGGGGAGTAATAAAAATGAAATAGAATAAGTTTTAGAGTGTTACATGACACTTGAGGAAGTACTAGTTCTGGCCGCACCAGGCTCAGTGTAACGCGAAGCTGCTGGTGTAGACTTACAGGGACGTCAATAAGACAACAGAGACGCCTGTTGGCCTCAGGCTGCACAAGCGGGCCCTTTATTTTTGCATCAGATTTTAACTGCGCACGCAACTAGATAGCTATGATACAATATCAAAGAAAAGAACAGAATAGAGGATTCAACGTAAGGGAAGAGCACTCATGCCTCAGATTTCATTTGAATGTACCACTGCGAAGTTAATGCGCCTTTTTTCACTCCCAGTCAACCCTCATCCGTGAATACCCACCCAGGGAAACATCTCAAAGCCCTGGGTTATCCAGACATGCCTCCATCATCTTTCAACTTTTCTCCGCGCGAAATATAATCTGAGATATCTCCTTCCCAAGTGGAGTAGGTGCCCAGGCTTCTCAGACTATACCAGAGAACACCAGAAGTAGGCGAAACACAACACCTTCTATCGTTGACTTGTATATAAAGTGTCAGCTGTACTCTCGCACTCGAAGAATTAGCGCCCACTACACTCTTCAATTAGTAAATTTTATTTTCAAAATTCCAAATCTCACGCCAATTGAGATTGTATCCTTCCTTTGCGTCATCTTGTAAACTTGTCCTGATTTCTCTCACGCCTATTCCAAAGAACTATCCCCCAGGTTTGTGCGCTACACTTTGATCCTCCATCGAATGTAAATATCGGTATGGGCGTGTATTTGGTGACCAGCCGAGGCCAGAGAAGGTCGAAGAGAGGTGTGGTCATTGGTATGAGGATGTACTTGGTCGTACTTGTAGACTTGATGAGAATTAGGTAGGAATCGATCTCATTAGGAGTAAAAATTTGACGTGGTTAAAGATTTTGAATCATTGCTCCGTAGGCCAGCTTCATTGGTATTGTGAAACTTGACTGAAATCGGCTCCAGGAGAATATTTCACTCCCAGGTTCGTAGAGGACACCGCGTACAAATGTTCATTCTTGCCCTCCTAAACGCTCTTTAACTATAACTATTATTTCATCTTATTGTCTTATCTGAGCCTATGACAACGTAGGACATGTAGGTTCTCTCTCTCTACAGGCAAAGGAACCCTATCTGTTGGAATAGAATAGCGGCACGCTGATTAGTTACGTAGTGAGCCAATTAGAAAGTAGGGATCCGAGACACCTGAAATTGGTCGGATTGATTGATTTTTCATTAACGTGCTAGTTAAAATGACACCTGTCGCTCTAATACTGCAGCTTCTCCAGTGAGGCAAACGACCCCTGAATGACATAAGGAAATGCTGAGGTGAGCCAAAGCGGGGAATGAATGGAAGGGAAAAGATACAGATCGCGAAGGTGTTAAGGGCTCGGGCGAGTGGTAGCTGAGGCTGAGGAGGAATTTGCGCTTCGGCGCGCCAAAAGGGGGTTCTCTGGGTTAAAGTTATGAGCTTGAGCGAAGATGGAGGTTATACCGGAATCAGTGTCGGCGGTTAGACCGATGCTGTAAGTCTTGTATTAGGGTTGGATGGTGTAGTGGTACACCATCCGGGTCGTCCTCCCAAGTAGATACTAGGTAGCTTGAACACCTACCCCATTCGAGACAGGAGAAAGCTGGTTCGAATCCAGTCAGACCCACACACCACTCTCTCTCGCGGTGATATTGTACTTGTGGGATGATGAAAGCACACACGGTTAGCCATAGGGTTTTCACGATTTTCCCTATGGTGGGTATGCACGGAAGAGGTTATACGCCGTAAGGGTTAACCTCGAGTGGTATCTGCAAATGAAATCTGAGTGTGAGTGTTGTAATCGTCAAATTGATTCATCCTACTTAATGTACATATCTTCCGATAAAAACCTGCATGGGCTTCAAGGCGCCAAATCAGGTAAAATGAACTATGTATATAAGTCTTGTATGAGGTTGTGAGAGGAAGATACAAGTGGAAACAATTGTATTTAGATGTATGGTTCCTAGTATAACCGAGATGATAAGTGTAAGATTGCGTGTTCGCATATCTTATCAACTGTGGTTTCTGACCAGTATTTATCAATCTCCATGGATCGTAAGTTATGATCCATGTAGATATAGATCTATGTACATACACATATATGGGCCAGGAACATAAAGCTAAATACATGTGTATCGGTAATCGATACGAGAAAACTATAACCTGCATTTAATGCATAGTCATCCACTGGAATTCTAGTGCGAAATGAACGCTAATGCGCATTAAACTTTTGGTGAAGGATGTATTGATAACAGTGATAAAGAATGGGGAATTTGATAATCTAACTAGCCGGACTTATAAATAAAATCTTGGCATTCCAAGATATATATCGTATTTCAATACTCTGGACGGTAGGGTTTACTATTATTATTAATTCATTTTATTTTCCTGTCTGAGTCTATGACTATGTGGGACATGCAGGTCCTCTCTGCCTACAGGCCAAGGATACCTATACCAGTAGTATATCCCCTCCTATGCCTCCCATACAGCTCCCCTCAAACGGTACCACCCCTCACAAGTCCTTATTCGATCATATACTAAGAGGAGCCCTTAGCCCTTCATTATCTCCCCTCTCCAGACAACAAAACAATGGCCATTTGCGGGTGTATGGCAGCCGGGAAAAATCGCAAAAACCACTAGGTGCGGGGCTCTTCTAATACCGACATTAGGAATAAATCCAAAAACATATTGCCCCTTCTGGAGCGTTCGAAGAGGCCGGCCAGCTGGGCGCTGCAGACATGCGGGTACCTCGGAAAATTCACACTCTGCCTTTCTAGCCTCCTTCCCGAAGGTCGTGCTGAAATGTCAGAAAAGTCTTGACAGAGCGTGATTGCTGTGTGGTAGTTTAGCCCGACTTCTTTTGTGCCGTCCAGGGCGCTGGAGAGTGCCGTTGACTCATCGATAAAAGAAGCCCTGGTTGGGCTTGACATGATTCAACACATAGGTGAAGTCTGAGGTGAGAATGCAGGCGACACTATAAACACCGCCATGGCTAGATGGTGCTGTGGTACATCGTCTTGGCCGGTCTTCCAAGTAGAGTCTGGATAGCTTGGACACATATCCCACTCGAGACAGTAGATCGCTGGTTCAAATCCGGCAAAACACAACCTCTTTTCTCGCGGCGCTGGTATGCATGGATGACGAAGGCATGCTTGGATAACCAAAGGTTTTGAAATTCCCTTTGGTGGGTACTTACGGAGGAGGTTCAACTGTTTGTGTAAGCGAACATACCTCATAGTGGTATCTGAAAATGAAATACAGAGTATGAGTGTCTCTAACGTCAAAAGAGTCATCCCACATGTATACATAGCACCGGTCATGTGTCATAGCTAGAAAGCTGAATACACATTAAATTATTAAACAAAAAAAAAGAAGTCTGAGGTGGTCCGGTCATTTAAGTGGGACGAGGCATTTGTACTGCACGGTAGTTAACCTGATCCGGCCCGGCCCCACTCGTGCTTAAGCACTAGTTTGAGTGCAACGTTAGTCAATCAACCGAGCACGTTCATGAACAAAAAAAAGCCCTTGATTCTTAACATCACTATCAATTCATCCTTTATTCTAGCAAACAATGTCTCTCGAAAAGTCTGCTTCAGAAACCAAATTTCGCAAGCAGCTAACTCGCGATCAATGTATTGAAATAAGAATATAAAGAAGACTTGGCTTGACATTACAAAATATATCCGACGAACTTGGCTTCACAATAAGGCAAGTATAACTTACGTGTGCTCGAAAGGATGCTCACCAAAATTAAGCGTGGAACAAGTAGACGAGCTTGAGGCTTTTGTTCGAGAATCTCCTGAAAATCGACAGATGTGTTATTTGGAACTAGCAATGGGACCCTTCAGCCACCAGGGATGAAATGAGCATTAACTTTCAAATGCCCTCAAAAAAATGGGTTACAGCAGATGCATTGCTCGGAAGAAGCCTCCGTTAGGTGTGGTTAACATGCACAAAAGATGAATAGCGGTGATAAAGGAAAATGGAGGGTATACAAAATGTTAGGATGGAGCAGACTAATACAAAACATGTAGCACGCTTTCATTTTAGTTGCGAGCCACACTGAGGGCTTCGATGTAGACTTTTTTAACACAGAGCAATTATTTTTGAAATAAATGTGTATTTTTAGATAATATCAATTGATTTTTAATATTTTTAATTTTTAAATGAGCACCATTATACATTTCATTTAGAGGTGAAAACCATCCCCATAACTTAGACTTTCCCGGAATATCATTGGATGGTACCCCTTGCATCCTTGACTAGTCGACGAACTAGATACGGGCCTGCATGAAGACCAAACCAATCAATTCAATATGTACAGGGATCTAACCCCAGTCATTTTGACAATTGTACAATTTCCATTCATGAGAGACTGTAGGAAACACGGAACACACGTAATTGTAATTATCCTATGACCTCACGCACAGTAAATTGCACGGTCAGAGTCCGTGACCACAGCAGTAGATCTACTAGCGTTGAGGGGTAAGGAGGAATCAATTTATGTAAACACATAGGCATAAGATAGTTGGGAAATACAAAATTTACCCACTAGACTCAAGCTCTACACAAGATCCGACGGAGTTAGGAGCAACGAGACACCACGTAGTAACATTTCATTCTTTTCCCACCACACCCTTTACTAAATATACAACGCGTGCTTGGAAACGTCGAAAATATATATTTGAAGAGTAAACCTCATTTCCAAGTTTCGAAAAAAGACAATAAAAAAATCAGTAAGAACAACCCGTCAAATCACTCAACATGTCTGAAAGGAGCGAGCCATCGACAACTGCTGGCGTTAACAAAAAATTCGTGAACATATTGGCTAGCAAAGCGAGTTCAACAATAGGGTCAGGGACCAACTTGAAAAACTCGAAAGCTTAGTAGGTTCGCAAACAGATATTGCCATCCACCATGTGGAACAAAGTAAAATTACAGACGAAAGAATGGACCGCATGGAAATAACGATGTACGAGATAAAGACAAGTCTCAAAGTAATTAAACCAAGAAACCAACCCAGTAAGCTCGCAGTATCTGAGTCCTCCAATCCGGTAATCCGTCCTGGAAAAGGGAAAGCCCCGGCAAGGCTGGACATATACACACCGGTTGAAAGCAAAAATGTCATCTCCAAACCAGAGCCTGATTTCTTCGCTTTAACACCCGGCGAAAAATTTGTCAAAGAAGCTTGGCCTCAAACACTTCTGGCCCATGAGATAAATCACGAGGCATATGCCAGTATCAAAAGTAAGGTGATATTAGACCGGAACTTCGCCTGGATAAGGCCAATTCTACTGTATTTTCCAAGCTCGCTGAAGTTTAGTCAGCTTTCAGAATTGCCTTAGCCCCGTACTAGTAATGGCCACAACGTCCATGCTTAGACATGAAAGAGGACTTCTAATGTACATGGGTTTGGGCCGAGGAAAATCTGGCGACTATTTGGCCCCTGCTACTGGAAGAAATATTCAAAACTATGCAGCAAATAGATGTCATACATAGTCACAGACCCATCTTTTCCCGCCTCTTTGCCAGAGATGGAGAAGACGTTAACTTTTTCACCACCCGAATCTGCGAAAGCTTCTACTGCCTATCCAAGCAAGAAAGAGGAAGTGATAAAACTCGTGATAACCTATCCGACATCGCAAAGACCTACTTGCCGCATGTATGGATATATCTGCAGCAAATGATGACAGGAGGATCAAATAGTGATGGTGACAACCTAGTTGTCCAAATAGCTACCTAGATTTCGAAATAGCCAGCGCAAGCAAATTATTGCGTTAGCGCTGAAACAAACCTACCGTCTAAGCTCATGATATCGGATCCCAGGCTGAAACAGCCTTTAATATTCCCAATACACGAGAAAGCTGACTTCACATCACCTAAACTTGAGAACTATTTTGTCAGGATCGTTAGCTTAGTTCGGAGGACACGGGTCGGGATGGGACGGAGTTGGGTTGGATATAATCGGAACAGGATGTGATCGGAACGGGACGAAAGCGGTATGTGACGGAGTCGGGGTATAAGGTAAAGCTTATGATAATCGGATCAATCTAAAGTCTAGAATAATACAAGACACAAAGCTACAGAATATATCCTGTCCTAGACCTTCCTTGAGTACTTGAGAGCGCCTACTAAAATCAGGGACATGACAGTCTACAGCTATAACATAGCAACTGGCCGGCAAATTTCCCGAAAGAATAATCAAGCCACTTCGAAGTATCCATAAAAGGTGCCTAAAGATTGTCACGGGAGCACATAATTCGACCATCTGCAAAGTACTTGAGCATGAGACCTCTACCTTACCGATGGAAAGCTATCTGTAACGGCTGCTAAGCCTGAGGATTCCTCTAGCCTACGCTGGCCAGCGCAGGCAATGACACCATGAGAATCTTCGGGGATCTTCGGGAATGATCTCGGGATACACGGAGCTTAGAAGATTCTTAATAATCCATCTGGAAGCATACTGAAGGTTCATGAGGATGACAGACATATCAAGAATCGGCTAGGGAATCTTCGAAAATTCCATATTAATCTAGTCACAGGGGAAACAAATAGCAGAGGAGTATCTCAGAGAATATATATATATTTGCAGTCTAGCTACAGGAATTCTCTCTCTAGAGAATTATAACTAACATACTATACCTACAAGATCGCCAAAGTATTTTGTACTGAAACCGTGTCACTATCTGAAACATAGGTAGGTCCAATACGCCGGACTATCGAGAAGCATGCGTGTTCAAGATACGATATCGTCAGCATGCAGGAAAATAAAGCCACCCCGAGCTGGAAGGTAAGATGCACGAGCTCTCACGATGACTTTGGAAATAGCGGATTGGTGTTATGATAACGAGGTCGTGAGAAGATAGAGGAATACCTGAAATGGATGCAGATGATCATGGATATGCAGATATAATTGATGAAGCTGTAAATGCCAAGATGCGTTGGAATGAACAGTGGTAAGATGGTTAAATCTCTATCAATTTGCGGAAGTATTGCTTCCTTATATATACATTCAGTACCCCAGTCCTGATCACGCACTCACCACAAGTGCTTCCTACTTCTGTCACAGTAACCACTTCCATAGCCCCTGCCAATATCTCCTGTCACAATATACTATTGACACTGGTTGCTAGTGTGGAACTCCCGGGATTGCAGAGCTATACACCGTCGTCACATTATATGCTGTTGCCCCTCAATAGCCATCAGAGTGATGTGCACCTCAGTCTAAACGCATTAGTCCACCAGACAACGCTCGGATGTAGGGATGTTGCCAGGATAATTAGGTACTTAGCTGTGCTATTAGTGCCCTAATCTCATCTAGCTTACTGTGGCCGCGTGTCCGAGTGCTGCGATGGTGGGAGCCCGATGAGGCTCGATCGGAGCTGACCCGAGTTATTCACAACAATTGGGGCCAAATATGTGGGAAGAGACGAAGCAACGACAGAAAGCGGCTGGAAAGGTCGCGGCCTTTAAAGAATGGGAACGATCCTGGATGAAACTGACAGCTAAAAAGTCTACTAACCATCAAGCGACAGCAGACCCTAAAATCTGGAAAGCAGCAAATATCTTTACAGATGATAAGACGGGAAAGACAGAAATGAGCCAAAGAGGAACACCTCCCAGTATCCATAAATACCTGGGCAAGGCCCAGAGCAGCATAGCCATGCAGATAAGAAGCGAACACATTGGGTTCAATTCCTATCTGTACAGAATAAAAGTTCCAGGAGTAGATAATCCACGATGCTAGTGTGGATATCCGTCCCAGAACGTCAAGCTTATGATCATGGCTTGCTCCAACTGGGCCAAAGTGAGATGGGAGATACTGAGAAAGGCAGAGTCTCGGTCATTTGAGGCAGTGATGAATAGGCCGAAAGATGTGGCAAGAATTACAAAGTGGATTCAACATGAAGAGAAAATGGAGCAGTTTCAGCTGATGCTTGAAGTCGAGGCTACGATGAGGGCGAGAGAAGAGAGTAGGGGAAAGATGATCTCCTGCCTGTAGCAATGAAGTGGAAGGTATCCGCACTGAACATAACAGCGTTAGTGGACTTCGTGAAGGTAACACAACTTAAGAGTGATGAAAGGAAAGATGAGGGGGGTTTCAACCATAAGGTTTCCTCATGTAAATATTGGAGTTCGTAGACACCTGCATGGACCTAAAGGCGCCAAATCGGGCTAAATGAAATTAAAAAACAGATTGCTATGTTGATTAGTAACTGTTGCTATCACAACATTGTAACCATCGCAACGCATTGACTATGTTACTAGGGAAGCTCCTGACTTGGTTGATCAGACTAAATGCAGCATTTCAGTATCAGCCTATGGCACAATGTTAGTAACTAGCAGGCCGTTTTCCTCGTGGCAAAGCCGACCTGTGATATCTTTACCAGTACGCAATGGCATTTTTGCTATTTGTAAAAAAATGGGACACTGGGCTAGATAATGCCCAAAGAACAATTACACAAAGCAAGTACCGCAGCATCATAAGCAAGATACCGGTAAAGACAAGTACGGTAACTTCAAGAAGAGATTTTCGGCCCACTTGAACAAAAGTAAGAATCAAAAACAACCACAGCACATAGGGAGACCAGAGAATCGAGGGACCTATCTTATCAATTCAATAGATCCCGAAGAGACATCTGGTGACCATGATTATGCGGATCGTTTCCCAACCTACGACGAGTTGGAAAGATTCTTCGATGAATTAGAAGAACATCCCGTCGAGTAAAGACGTCAAGATGCCTACTTCGTGGCAGTAGACATTGACAATCACACCAACCCCCTCGTCATCAAACCAACACGAGAGAGATATGGCAACCCTGAAAACTTATTTTACACTCGTTTAACAACGTCTTCTTTGTTCAGTTTCTCGAATTTTTTCGATTACGGTTGTCCTTGTTATATTCCTTTTCTCTCGCACAAAAACTAAATCCCTACCAGACAAACTTTACTTCCATAATATCTGGAATAGGTGGTAAAAGCCCCACTGTCTCCGAATGTTACGGTTTGACCGTTGTTTGAGCTTATGTGGATGCCTAAGCATATTGTTGAGGATTCATGTTGTAAGGCTATAAGGAAATGATAGAGAAAACTAGAAGATACGGCATCACTAGCCAAGGGGCCAGATTAGTGTCACAGCGTAGTGATTCTTGATAATATGTGGCTGGGTGGTAAGTATTCGGCCTAGGAAGAAGAAATTAGTCAAGACAATCACTGAGGGGCTCAATGTTATAAATTCCCGTCAGTTGTAGCTAGATTTCTCTTTCCTCTTTATACAGATTAGTAAATCGATATCATCATCACCAACTCGGGTTTCCCGTCACACCAAAGATGTTTTGGTCAATTCGCAATTTTCCTTACCCTCACATAATAACGCAGAGTGGTCAACGCCATTTACTGTTTCAGCAGGCGTTATTCCCGATGTAATCTTTCCTGGAGATCTCACGCTCGGGCAAACAGTATTCCATGCTTTTGTATTAAAATTCCTTGCCAATAGCGAGATTAAGCTCCTCGAATTCCCAGGAAACCCAACCCTAACCCCCACAGTAAGCACAATCTTTCGCAACAAATAAGTATGACCATAGAGATACTAAAAGTAAAATGGCGCCCGAGTACTACAACTCAGGTTTTAAAATATGGTCGAATTTATGCAGAAGAATTTCCTTCCCTTTTCAATAAATCTTTACGAAGATCTCACATTTTTTCTAAAACTCCCCACTGAATAAATACAGGTTACAGTTTACCAATCAAACTTCCACCAAGACTCTACAGCCCATCACAAATTCAAGCTATCCGTGATTTTTGCAGAGCCCACAAAGGGACACTAATCAAAAAATGCAAAGGACCCTGGGCAGCACCGTTGCTGCTTACACCAAAAAAGATAAACGCAAGCTCCGACAAAGTAATTTGGCAAATATGTGTTGATTATAGAGAACTAAAAAAGTTACAAAAACACGCACATCCGTTACCAAATACGCAAGATGAAATCCAACGAACTACCGGACATAAATACTGCGCATTTCTTGATCTCGAAAATGGTTTCTGGCAAATCTGCATGCACGAAGATGACAGCGAAAAGACCGCCTTCGTCACTTCATTCGGTGTCTACCAATAGCTAGTTATGCCTCTTGGACTCTGTAACGCTCCAGCCACGTTTCAATCATTTATGGAAGAAGTCCTTCAACTATTCCGACTATTTGTTGCAGGACTACTAGATGATGTAATGATATGGGGAACACTCCCGATGAACTTAATATTCGTTTGATTCTCATTTTTACTAGGTTTGCGGAGTATGGATAAATTCTCAACACATCCAAATGCCATCTTTCTGTTACACACGGCTTTT